TTAGAGATAGGACATGATATACTGCAAATAATTATTTGACTTTAACCCTAGGTAAATATGTTTCTATTGAATTAAATCTGATCCTCGGGTTTTTGTCATAGGTCCCCTTCTGTTCATCATCTATCTACATCCAGTTCAGTACAGTAAAGGCATTTATGTGAGTTGGACTGGACTGGAATATCTTAGCAATTATTGGTCGGCTGGCCAGTACATTATTGCATAGACTTTCTTGCTTCTCAGAGGATTATTGGTCTGGACTTAAATGATTCTCTGGCTTTTCCTTAAATGCAATCATGAGGGCAAAAAAAGAGTTGAAACTGACACCAAAAGCAGTAAATAAATACATGAATCCCTCAAAAAACAAATGCAATCATGAGGGTGACACATATGTTTATAAAAGGACCTGAGAGGGACTTTCAGTATATTTCACTTTTGGCGCAAAGTGGCATATCTTATCTCTTTGCATATTTTTTCCTCAACATGCGTAAGAAAAAATTCCCATCCTGCTTTCTTTTAAAAGAAGTTGAGATTCTTCGCTAAAGAAAAAAAATAAAAATAAGGCTGTTTCGGCACTGTGCTGTTACTCACCTGTTCTGACACCTACCCAACAGGAGCAGTTTGAGGTATTTGCAATAACAGCACAGAAATAATCAATCTCAACGCTGTTGGTCCTGTTTGATTCTGAATATCAAAGAGAGTCATCTGTAATCATTTCAGTCTGTTTCATATTCACCCAAAAACTCCTCACAGGATCTTTAAGCACAAACCTGACAACTGCATGGTAGATTTGTCCTTTTTTCCACTTTTTATCTAGTCCAAATTTTCAATTCAACAAATATTTGGTTTACCTTTGAATACCTTTAAAATGACAGACAAATAATCCTCAGGAATGAAAATGCTAAAAAGCAAATGTTATAATGCCAGAAACATCAAATGAGATGATGAACTAAGAATTGCCTTTGCCTGCCTCACAAACTGAAGGTCACATGCTAGACCCCCTGTATTAGCCAGTGTACCCAATCCTGTCAAAGTATTGTGATTGCTGCTCTGTGCTCTTAAGCAGGGGGTCTCTTTGAATGTAAAGGCTGCCATTTAATCCAAACAGCAAAACTTTTAAAATAACTTTAAATACACCTTTAACCACAAAAGTGGGCGTTAGACACAAAATCAGCTTGTGTGGATACAATAAGGGGCACATTGGTTAAAAACAAGTAAAGCAAACGCATTTTCAAAGAGAGACGTCCAACCACACTTTAGTCTGATACCATGCTGTTTAGTGTATAAATAGGGGAAGTACTCATGCACCCTTATTACTGTTTGATATCACCTCTTATGGCGCAAAACATAGCCCACCTACACGCTACAATTTCCAATACATTTAGTGTTATTGACCAAGGTCTATGGCCGCCCTGTAATTTAAGATACCAAGCACAGATTTTACTGCACTTCACTGCAGGGTTCCTAATATTCTTTGGATTGAAGGTGCTTCTGTTTACCGGCGGAGACATTAGAGGGGTAAAAAGGTAAGCGTTTCCTCAATGCAGATGGAGTTATTTGAAATCATGGCTCTAGTATTTAGTCCTCTCTCTTCTCTCTCCTCCTCCTCTCTCTCGCCCCCTTCTTTCTCAATTGTGTCCCTCGCCTCTGGCAAATGGGAGTCATTTGTTTGTGTGAACTTCCCATAACCCGCAGCGCGTGAGACACTTATCATTCAGAGTAGGGCTGCGTCGTCCTGAGTCGTAATACCTCTCTTCTTCTTCTTCTTCTTCTTCTTCTTACGTGTTTTCCTTCCACACCAGTCCCATGTCTGTCCCAGCTGATTGTCGCCATAGTTCATCATAAATTAGCCTCCATCTTTCCTCATTCTTTCACCCCCTGCTCCCCCATCTTCTGTCACTCTCTCTCTCGCGCTCTCCAATCTCATTCCTAACGTAATCTCGGGGTACAGAGGACCGTTTTCATTACTGCACTACTCATCTTATCACCCACCCTGTCATCTCCTCTGTCTCCTGTCTTCTTTATATTCCTTTATTCTAACAAGTCTGCATCTCAGAAGCCATCAGGGGTCCACCCTTTTTTCATTTCCCTAATGTACACCCCAAACACACACACACACACATACACACACCCTACCCTGGCCCTAACCCCTATTTTCATTGCCCTAACCTGTTCCCCATCATCATTATGTAGAGGGCAGCCCAGCTCCCTGCCATTGTGTAAATCACTGTATGCGTTTAGAGTGCAGTATGCTTCTTTTTTTTTGTTGTTGTTAAATTTAACTGTGTGTGTGTGTGTGTGTGTGTGTTATCTCTGCAGGCAAAATGAGCAGTGGCAAGACAAAACAGATAACCTAAACAACGCGGGCGAGAATAAAAGAGGAAGAAAAGATTATTACAAAAAATAAAGATGGCGACACGGAGAGGAAAGAAGTGATTTTAAGGAGGGAGAGCTGTCATTGAAGGCCGGGGTGAGCCCTAACCCTCTTGCTAGCTTGCTTTAATCCTTCATTTATGTGAACTCAGCTTTGGAAATGAAGCTGTCACTGTGTTTTCCTTGCCTTTACCCATGCTGGGGTATAATCAGAAACCACACATGCATGCAACACACACACACACAGAGAGTCGCAGGACACAGAAAATCACTCAGGAGAGGTTTTTAAATTCATTCCAGAGTTGGAGGAAGAGATTCGTACTGCCTCACCTTGTCTCCTGGAGGAGGAATCATCGGATATGTTGGAGACAGTGGGGAATTATGGGTAAATGCACTGGTGAGGAATGATAGTCCGCAATCTCCGGCTGTAATCTGGGATCGCTGACACATGCCATTCATTTCAGACTGTACCAATATCCCCCCTGCATGCTGTAGAGCATAAACCTGGGTCGTTGAACTATGATTTATTCTTATTTTTGTGACACAAACCTGTTCATATTGTTGTTTACAGCTTCAATTTAAAGTTAAAAAGCATTAAATCCACCTTTGTTATGATCCTTATGCAACATCTTTAATAGGAGTGATGCAAAAAACTTTTTAAAAAATTTAATAGAAATCTGTATGTGAGCATATTTTGAACTATTGTTACAATTTGAAAAAGAATATGTACCATCTTAAATGCTGCAACCGAGACATTTATTCAGTGATGCTCGTTACATGAAAAAAAAATATTTTTAAGAATCTTTAGACGTAATTTTTCTTCATTTTTCATTATTTTGACATGGAATGACAGAGGAAGGGCAAAGAACATTGATAACAGCTATTAAAGGGCAATTTGTGTATTGTGAAACCCCAGACTTGTACTGCCATCTAGTGGCTATCAGAGGAAACGTTTGGATGGCGTGTGGGGTGGTTAGACGGATGGTATGGATCACTTAGTTTGGGCACAATCAGATAAAAACTTTCTTTAAAACCTGGTTGCATACTGGTTTGCACATTTGAATTTGTTTTGTATGAATATAAACATTTTGAAAAATTGCAAAAAGAAGATGAACCCCTACTCTGATGATTCATTCAAATAAGTACACCTGTTTGGGTGAGTTGAACAGTTATGTCTTTAATAGGATCCTTTAATAAATGTATTCTTGTTTCCCCCAAAAAAATCAACTAATATGCAATCAAATGTTAAAAGGCAACAAAAAAAAAAAATCTTACTCTCATCCATCCTTGTTTCCTCCATCATCTTTCTCTTCATCCCTCTATTTCTCCACCTCATCATCCTCCTCAGGTGCAGCGAGCGTCACACTGCTGTGTAATAGGGTGCTGTCAGTGTGGGCAGCGGCGAGCAGAGTGGTGCGTCTCAGATGAGATATGTGACTGGCATGCTAACACACAGTTTTATCTGAAGGGAAAAAAAAAAGGAAGGAAAAAGAACGGGGCCCCCACATCTCCTCACTATAGGCCTTTGATTAAAGCTCTCTGGGTACACACACGTGCACTCACCTCCTTCCAAAAAATAACCCCCACACACTCTCACACACAGAAGTGCACAAGCATGCACCTGCACAGACTATAAATAAATTGCAGGTAGGAGCCTACACACACACACAAATACAGTATATATGCATACACACATCCTCCCATTGTGGGTGGTGTTGTTTTGACCTGAGCCAGGTAGCTTGTCCATTATGGAGTTGATAGGAGGATTTGGCCATGTTGATTCTAGACAGCATCATCTCCTCTGCCATAAATAACCTGAGTGTTTTCTCTGAGTCACACAATAATATATAGAAAATAAGAGCTCTCAGCTTCATCCCTATGTCTCTTCCACTGCACGCACACGCTATCACACACATATAAAACCCAAAGAAATGATTGTATGAGGGCGCAAACAAAAACAAGAGATTTAAAAGTACAGTTGTCCCCGGTATAGCTCAGTTTCAGCTCAAATTATTGTTTAACACTCTCGTTCGACGTTGGTTTTGTGTGTTTTCTCAGATGGACATGAGGGAAACTAGTTTGATTTTAGATGAGCAGCATTGTCTGGCAGTGCAGTTTCAATAGTTTGCCAATAAAGCTTTGGATACGAACTGCATACCCCTGACCAATGTGACTGTGCGGGAGCATGATGACTTCCATAAAGGAAGTAATGGACAAAGCACACAGTGTATTCTTGCATGTGGGGATCCATATTGAAATAAGTTCAGTCAATTTATCACCATTTGTCCATCTATATTGTTTTTCTCTTCAGGATCGAATATGAAAAAAAAAAAAGACAATTTACTTTCGCTTTTTATTTTTACGATTTCAAATGATGTGATTTGTTGTAGCTGTAGCAATAGATTTATTTTGATTGGAAGGATTCATGTACCTTTTTTTTATAAACAAACAGAAAATGGATGTATGATCTCTTTTTATATACATGTACTGCACCCCCATTTACATTCCCCATTGTAGTTCCTTACTTGACAACAAGAGGGTGCTGCTGCGCCATACTGTGATGTGAGTCTGTCACTGCACGTATTTTAAATAAAACATTCAATCAGTCAATTTCAAACGAACCACTCCGATGTAATCAAAATCTAATTTTAATCAATAAACTGGGTGAAACAAGACTTTTACAAAGTATCAAAATAAACAGAAATATAAGAACACTTTAGATTCTAAAAACATAAGAAAGAAAAACAATAGAAAGAGAAAAGATCCCAACATCTTATTTCATATTTTTTTTTACTATATACAGTCAGTCATTAAAATATAAAAGCCATTTATCCACATCCTTTTTGCCACCCACCTGAAGTCTGTACAAAGTATTTATATAAATGATATCATTATGACTATCGTGTGGATTTTGTCATCAAACTAATTCACAGCATTAAAGTGCTGCTGGATAGATGTTTATTTAAATATCTGTGTGCCTTAGTCTACGTTTTTCTACTCATGACTTTTTATTCGAAGAAAATCAGTTAACATTCATGAGGCTGACATTTCTCCCTCCATTCCCTTCATAATGTTTGGTTGAGTGAAAGAAAAATCTTCTGAAGTTTTTAAGATCATGGTAACTGATCTGAGACCAGTGTTGAGGTGTAACTGGCTCTGCTAACACACTTTTTATAAATTAAACAAGTATCCATTTTTAATCTGATGGCAAGCTGCAATTTGTTGATGATAAGCTAATGTGGTTTCCTGTCATTTATTATTAGATATTGTTTTGTACATTTACACATTATCAGAATTTTCTGTTTAGGATTGATTGTAAATCAGAGATCAAAGATTGAAGGCGTTTTGAGCTCATCTCAGGCCAGACCAGAATGCAACATGTACAACGTTTTCTATTGAACCCTGGTGTGGTTTTTCATTAGTTCACTAAATTTAAAAAGTGACATATTAAAGTTTGAAAGCGCTGCACACAGCAGCCCCGTGGTTATTGCAACACCAGGGTAAAGAATAACCACAGACACTGAACAGAGACAAGGAAACTGATCCCCATGTCAGGCTCTTTGGAAGAGTGCAGGGAAGAATTCAGGGCTCTGTCAGAGCGGAGGGCGAGGGGCTGGATGGAGGACAGAGAGGCTGGGGAAAGTGTTTGTACTTCTCTGGGGCAGGACCCTGAGGGGGTGATGGGATGGGAGTTTCTGGAGCGGCTGTGGGAAGAAACACAGACATTTTTTATCTTTATCGCATTTAAATTTTCCATGAAAATAAAAGAGATTTGATAAAGATTTTACAGAGTAACTGTGGTTTCTGTGGTTGCATGCAGGTACAGTGTGGCTCTTACCATTGAGTGGAGTGTGAGTGACTGGCATGGTGCTGATGACGAGTGTGTGTCCAGTCAAAGGGTCCTGAGTCAGCTGGGTGTGTGCTGGGTGGTGCAGGTGTGCGGGATCTGACGTCAGGCCTGAACACATGACAAGAAAGTTCATTTTTTAAACACAAACTGTGTGTTTTCAGTGACCTATAACACAGTTTGTGTGTTTACCAAAAGGCCAAAACACACAGAAAACCCTACATATTCAAAGATAGGCCTCAGTGAGAGTGGTGAGAGAATCAACTCACTGCAGTCAGGATTGGATTTGATTAAGTCCAGGTGTGTGGAGCTTTTATACACTCTGAGTGTCCAGTGCTCTGTGCTGACTCATTATCTCACCTTCAGAGGTAGTGAGAGGTTCTCTCTGTGGTTCCTCTAGTGGTCTGTGTGTGTATAATAAACACAAAAAACATTCTTCCTTTTGAGTATAACTCGGGGTGCTGGATAGTGTTGCTTTACTCCAGCCTTTTGTGTTAACTGTTAACACCTCCATGGCAGTCTTTGCTTTTTGTTAAGTGTTTTCTGGGTCTCCTGGACAATTTGGTTTTGAGTCAGTTGTGTGGCAGCAGTGGTTTAGTTCATCGTTTTCAGTGCATTATTTAGTATAGGAAACTTGTTTAGGCTCTATACAATTCCTTTGCTTTTTTCCAACATCCAATCTTGCTTGCAATTTTTGAGGTGACTTTAAGACACCCTTGGCTCCCTGCACCTCGCCCCCCCCTCTCCTGTCATGCATTACCCTGTCACGTTTTATTTTTTGTTCTTGTACAGCTCTTTCATCTCACAAATAAATACACAAATTTACACACATTTTTTTTCTTGTGTTTTAATAATTAAAATCTTAAATATGTTTTAGGAAGTAAACACTGAATTTGATCTGTTACATGTAAATGTTAGTTACTTAGTTAGTCTTAGTGACTTAGTTGGGTTTGCTTCTGCGTCAACTTTAAACAAGAATATGAGTGTTTTTGCATTTGCACATTCATGTTACTAAATATAAAATCATCTTCACAATATTTGAATAGCAGGCTTTTCTTATGTGCTGGAAAACACACACACACACACACACACCACACACAGTTCTTTCTGTACCCTGTCCTTTAAGTCAGGTTGTCATAGTCTCGAGTTGTTTTTAGCTTATGTTGCGAAAAATGGAAGACATTTTTGGAGATGACTCAGTGCTTTATTTCCTCTGCTTGTGCTATCTGTCATGGCCCTACTTGGAATATGTTTGATGCATTCTCCCTTTAAATGCTAACTCCCTTTAAAAAAAAAACACACACATTTAGGTTTGTTTGCGGGTGTCACCTAGCTGCATCTTATGGAGAAAGTTGTCTATTTTAGCTTTGCATATTATATGTGTTGCTTATTCAAAGTTTTACAACCTTCCTGCAAAATCCACAACTTCTAACTTGATGTATTTTCTTATTGGAAAACTTTGCAGAGTTAGTGTACTTTTTGTTTTTAACACTTCTTCACACTTACAGTTCAGCACATTTAACAGTAAGGAGCTCAACTGAGGCGTTTGTTTCTGTTGAAGGTCACTTTTTTCCCCCCCTTTCCTGCAGGTTTATAAGCGCAAACATGTGCGCAGTCTCACCTCCCAGCAGCATCTCATGCAGCAGGTTGTCTATCTTTGCCAGGCCGCACAGCTTAATGAACTGGAGCTGTTCGATCATCTGCCAGGTGATGCTCTGCAGGGTGGGCAGGAGGAGTAACAGCTCTCCGAAACGACCCCTGGAGTCGTACTGCCGGTCATTTATGTAGTCTTCTAGACTCATCTGGACCTGAAGACACACACACACACGCACACACACACAAGGCCAAAGCTCCATCAGTGTGAGCAGACTGCTATTTAAAGCTGACATACAAGATGCAAAACAAAAGGTTGTGCGGGAAACAATTAAACATTAGCTGCTCCTTATTTCTTAAAATATTTTTTAAAACACTGAAAATGAACTACAGCTCTAGAATCTACAAGAGTCAAATGCTCCCTACCTGCAGACGCATGGCCTTTATCTTCGATGGGTCCCGCAAAGACTTTGCATCTGGGGAAGCAAAGCGTGGAAGTGAGGGATGGCTTTCAAGGGTGTAAAGTAGAAGGAGGAAGGAGTTGAAGGAGTTGAAGGACGGGATTGTGAAGTAATAGAATAGATCAGGGATGGAATTGATGGAATGATTATGGACAAACTGGGGCATGAGGGTGAAATGAGGGGATTTAGTGAGGAGAGGTGAAAAAGGGGAACATGGGTGACATAAGATGAGGGCAGGGATAGTGTGGTCACACTAGGCCATGGAGGTGTTTAAAAAGAAGGAGATGGAGGGATTGGGATCTAGTGTTGAGGGGGAGTGTAACCAGAAGGATAGGTTGGAAAAAAGTGGGATTTTGGCTGAAATGGTGAAGGGTATTTTAGCAGGTATCACTGAAGATACTTTATTTGATATTTTCAATCTTTTACAGTTTTTAAATATTGTTCTCCAACATTATATTCTTAATTTACCATCTTCTACCTGTTTTTTTTTTCTGGATTTGATGCGTGTAAGCTTTAAATATTAATCCTGAATTACTTATTCCTCCTCTTGTTCTTTGCTGTACTTTTGAAATAGTGATGATAAAAACAGATTAACCTACAAGGCTTTAGGTTTAAAGGCTTTATATGCAAATTTGTGATCCAGCAGATGTCGCCCTTGAGCACCAGCATGAAACCAAAACAACTCGCGCTGCATTGTTGTGTTAGCATGCTAATGCTAGCGATCTTTATTATGCTCATATCTTCACACTGCATGTAAATTTACCTGAAATGAGCGTGATCTAGAAACACAGTTAAGCAGTGAGTACAGTATGTTATTCTTCTTTTCTCTAATCCCTCAATTAAACAACTTTTATACACGAGGGGAGGAGTCAGCCGGCCGTCCCGGCGATGTAAACCGAGTGAAGCTACGACTAGGAAAGCTAGGAAAGCTCAGAAAGCATGACAGACAGTGGGACTCGGGTGTTACACCCATTGTAGACAGTCATGACTCAGTTTTCATGAGTTATTTACAGACAATAGTTCCCAATAAAAACGTCAAGGGGTAAAGTAAAAGAACATCGAAACCGCACATGCTACATCATCTCTTAACTACTTAAAGTACTTAAATAAACTAATAAACTCCTTTTATTACCTGGATCAAAGAAGACAATGGCCTTGAGTGCTGCATACTCATTCTCATCAATCTGAATATCCTGAAAAGGCTGCACCAGCTCGTCCAGCACTCTGTTGGCTACTCGACAGATCTCTGGTTCAGGATTGTTCTTGTGGATCAGACAGCCATTACCTGCAGACAGAGAGAGTGTTGGTCAGTGGTTGAAGGGCATCGGTAAGACATTCGGTGGAATTCTTGTGTTTGCTTTTGTGGAAGGAAAAAAAGCCATAATTTCTCTGTAAATACAAGTTCATGTGTAGATAATGCTTAGCGACAGTATGATGTTGCTAAATGCCCCAGTAATGAGTAATGGCATTTACAATTACAAGAGACACTTTAGAAGTCACAAAGAGACTCAACCCTTTAGTTAATCATTCTCAGCTAACACAACATTTGATCAGTCTTCACACTCCAGAGCTGAACCACTTGGTTGCACCGCATAGAAGTAAGAAAGGCGTTCTATTGGTCAGTTCTTACCTAAAAGCAGGAAGTCCTTGAATGGCATTGACCTTTTGGCGACCCCGAGCAAGAGGTGTTCCCCTGCGTGCGCCCTAAGCAAGCTAACCTGAAGACAAAAACGCACATGACACACAATGTAACAATGCTCACCCTTTTGCCCACACAAACATCACACCTAAAGTTTCATACTTTACTGAGTCTCTGCCTGCTTTCAGATTCTGTTTGCCAATTTAAAGGAACATCTCCTAACGCAAATCATAGCTCTAAATACTGGTGTGCATTGAGATTAGATATATAAAAAACTTTAAGTTCTTTGATTAAACATGCTCTTTGTTAGATTGCCAAGCACAGTCCCATCCCATGAACACAGAAATCCTTTCTGAATAGTTTTAAACAAAAGTGTAGCTCGGGAGGTATTGGGTTTTACCTCGGTACTTAAAATACACAAGGTTTGAAGAGTGTGCAAGCAAACACATTGTTACAGATAACCCATCATGCATTGCAGTCCCATTACCTGGTCATCTAATGGCAGATCTCCAAAGGCAGGGATGTATTTGGCCCATTCCACCAACACTAATAACTGTTGTCTCATAGAATCACAAACATCCCCGACAGCGGCGGATTTCTGCTCTGATATGTCAGCTATTCCAACTGGAGTAGTTATCTGGAAAGAGAATAAAAGTTTCCTGGGTCAAAATCTGTACATGTCCATGCAAAAAAAAAAGAATTGTGCGAACATCAGCTTATATGCAACCAAATATCAGCTCAAAGAAAATGCGTCACCTGTTGGGAGAGTGATTCGGCTTGGGCCAAAATCGTGATGGTTGGCAGGTCTTGGGAGTCAGGGATACTTCTTCTGGAGCTGATCCGGTCTCTCTCGTTTTGTACGGCTGAAATATAGCACACCGTATAAGTTGTTACTGTGTGTGTGTGTGAAACTGGAAGAGTAATACAAAAGAAAGAAAGGCAGAGACACCACCTCTTATTATTTACGCTGAGTAAAAACTATAACCAACTCTCAAACAGGAATATGAAAAGTTACTGCAAACTACTCTATGAAGTTGGTTGTCACAGGTGTTGGGGGGGAAAAGTAGATCTAAATGATGACAACAAGACACTCTGGCAGTTAATATTTAGAAAAAAGTAGTCACAGAGGCTGCCATCAGCAAGACGAGTCAAACGTTAACCAGTAACAATCCAGAACAACATGTTTGAATAGCACATGATTATGTGTCATAAAGCACTGTGCCAAGGTTATACCCCTCATAAATACACCCTCCCCCTCTCCCTCTCTCTCTCTCTCTCTCTCTCTCTAAGTAATCACTTATTTTATGGCCAGTATCAACCATCCTAAGGAAGGTTTCAGACTCTCATAACAGCCACAACGAAAAAAAAAAAAAAAAAACTTCTGAAACTACACTATGAAAAAAAATAGGTGTTGGTACCACAAATAACTCCAAATAGTTGAGAATGGAAGAAGATGAGGAAAAAAGTTCATGAAGTAAAGTAACTCCATGCTCTCCACTTCCTCTCTTGTGCAGGAGCAGGAGCAAGGCTTTTCCTACCTTCTTTTTTCATGCCAGCCCTGAAGCATTTGTTGAGTCTGCAGAATCGACACTGGTTCCTCTTATCTTTGTCCACAATGCACTGTCTGTTGAACCTGCACATACACAACGCACATACAAGAATAGACGTAGCTTTACAGAGCAGAACATGATGGCAAAGTGTACTGTAACATGACATAATGCACAGTGACATTCTTTGACATGATGGCTGGGCTGAAAAGTAAGTGAGTTGTATTTAAGCAAATGCACATGAACAAAAAGTTGCACACGAATTAGCAGTGGCATTAGTATGTTGTCGTACCTGCAGGTGTAAACATGGCTCTTGCGTATGGAGCGTCTGAAGAAGCCTTTACAGCCGTCGCAGCTGGAGGCTCCGTAGTGTTTCCCTGTGGCTTTGTCTCCACAGATGGCACAGTTACTGCTCACCCCGTCCGGACCGGTGAGGCTCGGCTCTGTCGGCATGCTGTCTGTAAACGCACAACAACAGGCACAGTTAAATACGCCTGCATTTAGACAAACATAGGGACGGCAAGCATCAGAGAAACAATTTACAGTTACAAAAACACCAAAATCCCTTTGACCCCACTGCACAATGTAACTTTCCTGAAGCCGTTATGTGTAGAATTTGACAGTGATTAAAACATCTTCATACCCTTTTAAAATGTTTTCTGCGTCTATTCCATAAACACTGCAGGTAGTTGTTAGAGTTTATATAACTACAAATGAATTTGTGTGGTATTTGATTGTTATAGCACAAACATTTATCAGGATAAAGAACCACTGGCAGTCAAATGGCAAGGTATTTTATTATTATTTTATTGTAACATTAATGAATATTAAACATTATATACAACTTTAAAAAGTCAGTTTTTTGTAGCCATCTCATTGCCATCAACATTATCATAATAATCATGATTGTAACCATTATCAGCTGCAGTATCATCCTCCCCATAATCTGAAACATAATCATTATTGTATTTATTGTTCAGTGAAAGCCAAGAACACAGTATGGTCATAATGAGAGCATCAACACTGACACGTTCACATATGCCCACACACACACACACACACACACACACACACACACACATATAGGCCCACTCCAAGTAGTACCAAGGCAATATGAGTCAATGTTCAACTAACTGTGTCCCACATGCTGAGCTGACATCAGTGTGACACTGAGATGCAATTCTTGCCTAAACACTCTGATTCCAGGCTTTGATAACCACGGCCCAGCCCTTTCCTCTCCTATGATCTCTCCTTCTATCCAAGTGCATGATGAGTGTGCACATACAAAAATCACTGAAAGGAACACCCCCATAATCAACTTTTTAAAGACAACTGAATGCAAAGAGTTTAACTTTTTTTTTTTTTTTTTTAAATATCATGTGTTTCCTCATCACCTTCCCCCACCTTCAGAGGGTCTCACATCACTTAAAATGTACAATTCAAGTCTTTAAAACAGGTACACTTTTCTCACAGCTCGCCCTTAAAATGTTTAAAATGCATTAAGAAGCTACAGACTTATTACAGTAATACGGTATAGATACAAGTACCTCTAATTTTTCTGACCATATTCAAGTATTTGTAGGTATCCACTTCAACTGGAGGTATGTGTGCTTATTTGTGTGTGTATACATGTGTCAGTGCTAATAATGATTAAGTTTGTATATGCATCAAGCCAGTATCTAACCTGGTGTTAAGAGAAATGCTAAATACAGATATTTGATATTTTAAGGTTAAATTAAGATGTGCATGAGCATCTTCTGTTTGAGTTTCTATGTGTCCATGTTTATGTAGGTGGCTACAAGCACACACACTTACCTCCTCCTCCATAGAGCACCTCTGCATTCTCAAAGCCCAGCATGCTGTATGAGGGATCCAGGCCTTCACAATAGTTGGCAACTTCCATATCAAGCAGAGATTTACTCTGAGAAGCCAGGGGATACTTCATTCCTGTGTTCTCTTTTCTCTCTTCTTTTCTCCACTCACTGTGCCCTTTAGTCCTTCTTTCTCTGTTTTCCTTTTGCTTCATGTAATTTTACAAACATGACAAGGGAGATCCCTTTTCATAAAAGATCTATAATCCCGTCTGATTGGGCTAAGACGAGGAGAGAGGCGGAGCTGAGGTGAAGACTTCTCACCTTATTGCACGTTACTTATCTGTCCTTCTCCTGTACTTATCAAAGGGATGGAGATAAAGTGGTGAAGGAGATATTTTAATTGTACCTCTCGTCCTCTTAAAAGACAGATTCTAACAGTTTACACCTCAAGCACATGTTGGTGACCTTTTCTTTTGTTTGTGTCTACAAGGGCTTTGTTTAAAAGGCACTAACATGTATATGCCTGAGTTGTGTGTGTGTGTGTGTGTGTGTGTGTGTGTGTGTGTGTGTGTGTGTGTGTGTGTGTGTCCTTCCCTGGCTTCCTAATCTAATCAATAGGGGAGTAATAGCACCACCACCTCAGCTGATATAATCTATAAAGACACTAAGTGAAGTGGAAAACACAGATAACTTCCATTAACTCTTTCACAAACACACTCCTTTACATCTTACTATTGATGGAACTTTATTTTAAGTAAATTTAAATGAAGAGGTCAGTCAAACCTCTTTAGAGATCTTAAAAAATGCTAACTAACTAAGGATAATACCTCAGTTTTTTTGTTTGTTTGTTTGTTGAATGTGTCTATTATTTTTTATTGATACAACAATGAGTTTCAAATAACACATTTGATTGGCCAAGAAGATGCAATCAAATAGGGTCCAATAGCACTTCAACAATATGTACAACATCACTTCAGGTGCTATGAAAGCCTTTAATTCAAACTACATGATTAACACACTTTTTTTGTCCTGATGGATGAAGTTTGATCCTTGTAATCACACATGCAACAAAGCAGCTATCAGAGGAACACAACTCAACTGGTTTCATGAGGAATGCACACATCCAGATACATTTCTTGGACTGTAGGGAGCTTATCTGTGGTCGAATTGAGTGAATTTGCATGACTGAAACTAGTTAAATAGTTGTCAGTGAGCTGCCTGCTCTTTCAAAAAAAAAAGGAATGCTGTAAACACTCTCTGATTTACCCCCATAAACCATTTAAAATGTCCCAACCCTCCCATTTTACATCAGGAATTTTATTACACTTAATCTTATTGTGTGGCCTTAAGGTAATCAGCTTGGGCTATTGTGTTGGAAAGGGCTGTTAATGATAAGAGGCAATATTATAGCAGAGTTGTTGCGCTACATCAGCAATGATTGAGCCAGTCAGAAAAGCAGCAGAACATGAGCGAGCAGCTGCAGTACATCAGAATGCATGTGATCATGGATCAATCACTTGACTTAAGGAGAAAGAGCAATTGGTATTAAATCAGTAATAGACACATGAGCTACTAGGAGGGGAGGCTTAAATACAGGGAAGGAGTGTCTGAGACAATAGAGAGAGAGAGAGAGAGAGAGAGAGAGAGAGAGGTGTGATAAAGATTACATTTAACTGGGCTCTACAGCATCAGGTGACCTGACTCATCAGGTTTGCATAAAGTGATAAGGCGTTCACATTCATCATCAGTCTCAGATCACTGCAGGATGACTGTGCTGGATTTACATCACATACATAAATCTAGATCTTCTTTTAACTACAGGGCCCGTATTCATAAACATTCTGAAACATTCTGTCTCTTCTCAGAGACCATGCAAGGATGTTTTTCTTAGCTCAGGTGAAGACAGAGACAAGAGACAGAAACTTTTATCTTAGTGACGAGGCGTGGTTGACCCCGTTGCTAGGTGTGATACAGTTTTTAAGACGCTGTGATTGGATGATACAAAAAAGGAAAAAAGAATGCTCTATATAATGGATTGTGAAATGGATTGGGCCCAATCATAGAATCCAGTCAGACATTGTGTAATTATGAACTCTGTGTGATGAATTGTAAGACGTACATTTTTACGTCTTTTTGTGACTTTATTGGAGAGATAGGACAGATAGGACATGGGGTACATGTAACAGTTTTACACCTTAGGAGATCTCTTAAGGACTAAGAAGTTTTGTTAATAAGTTGAATCTTTACAAGGATCTGGTCTTAACCATAAGAGGAAATTCTTAGAAAATGTCTTGAGTCTAAGAATCTTCTCAGAATTTTGTCACTATGAACAACATCTATGTCTGAAGGCAGAATCTGAAAATGTTATTTTCTGAAGAGGCTATCATGAATCATGCAGCTTTTATTTAAAGTGAAATTAAAGGTAAAATCCAGTTTTCATTGAGAGGAGATGTTTTTGCCTCACCCTCAAGGAGCACTTCAGGAATTCAAGTCTTAAGAGTATAAAAGGAGTGCCTTGGATCTCTGATGGTTTCAATATTTGAGAAATAAAATCATCCTATTGCTTTATTTGGATCAAGATACAGGATTGCAAATGCTTATCCTGAGCTGTGTTTTTAAAGGGATGTTGAACACATTCACAAAATACATCTTTAATGAGTCCTCCTTTGTGCAAACCTTCATTCCAGTAAGAAGAATAACATAAGAGAGGGGTTCATCGACCTTATCCTTTCAGAAATATAATCCAAAAGATCATAGAAAACATACTGTCATTTCTAAAATGAGAAATCTTCAGTTGAAAACAAGCAGGACAAAACTTGGAGACCTTGTGTCCAACCCAGCAACAAAAAGCTCTCTGGAGCCATAAACCATGGAGTTAAGAGGCCGTATTTGTGTGTGAAATGGCCATAATACTGTCTCCTCTGTCTAGATGAGAGCTTTTAATAGTCGCAGATGATGATCAGCCAGCCAACTGACTCTAGTAAAACACTACTTCCTGGTACCCGGGCAATAGTAAAGAAAGCACAGATCAGTGGAGAATTATACCATATTCATTCTCTTGAGGAGGATCAGCTTTTATTATTTTATATACAACATTTATGTATAATTTGCTTTTAATACTTTGACATTTTGATTGGTTGTTAAACATCTGCTCTGATATTGGATTTGTGCAAAAGATAACTCAGGATATTTTTTTAACTGGTTATAAAACTGAAATGCCTCTATAAAGACTAGTAACCAACAAAGAGAATCAGTGTTTGCTATAATGTGATTTTTAATGCCTGAAACCGCTGCCTGGGGTAAAGTTTCAGTTGACATTATGGACGGCATTTTTCAAGAGGTTTTTTTTTATTAGATTTTTTGTTGCAATCTCCACGGTGACGATTCTCAACGAGTCATACGTTTGACTTTTAAAAGAAAGCAGGAGCGGACTGTTTTGTAAAAAGAAACAACACTTCTTTAGTATGTTGTTGACGAGATAAGAATGGAAATGAGGTACAGTATATGTTCTACTTTGTCCACAGGGGTCGCCAAAAGCAACATAAACTTAAAGATCTGCAGAGTAACTTTAAAATTTTACCACCATGCAAAAGTCTGGCAGAATTTGTAACATCTCTCCCATAACCCCTGAATGTCACGTTTTGATCTTTATCAACATTAGTTCAACACACGTTCTGACACATGACTTGCTCGGCAACATTCAACCTTCATCATGTAAACAGATTCTTCCAGTTGAATTAAATCCCATATTAACAGTCTGTCAACAGTATGCACAATGTAAACCCACTCACCTGCAAAGTTAAAGACACACCAACTACAATTGCAAACTCAAAAACGTTCTTTAATCGTCTTGACAAAATGTAACTTGTGTGTCTATATTAAATCAGGCCGAAGCTGTTGTTAACCTAATCACAGCAAATGTCACTGAATCTTTTGTAGCAGCAACATGGTTGTAAACCACCATTAGCTATAGATTGTAACTGTTCTCTCTTTACAGATGACGTCGCTGTACAGATGAAATGGGTTATCACATGATCTTTACAGCGCAGCATGCGTGACAAAGTGAGTCTATCTTATCTGCCTTCACAGAACGCTGTCTGCAGACAATGAGGTGAGAGCACTACCTCTTTAAAAAGAAAAAAAATACTAGATGAAATGTGACAGAAAATCCAATAGTTCCAGCAAACCACGAACTAAATGTATTCTAAAGACATCAGCTCTGGTTACTGGACACACACATTACAGTGACAGTTGAAGATATCGAGAACAGGGATTATAATAATACCAAACCATGTGATTTAGCAGCTAACATGCTAACTTCCTTTAGAAACTGATAAATGTAAGCTCCCCTTCTTCCAACAACATATCTTTGAATTCTCACAGCGATACAATGCACTTCACAAAAGGAGCCTGACTTACCTGTTTTCCTGTTTTCGTCTTGAATGTGCATTTATCCAGATGTAGCGTTGTACTCCAGTGGTGAGCAGCCCGTCAGTGCGACATTAGTCTAAGTGACACTTAGAATGGGAAAATAGTAAAGGTGTTGGCACACATTAAAAGGGAAGGTTGGAGAGCTGAGCAGCATATAATTCATGGAGCGACACATTGGATGGCGCCACCATAGCCCTGTCATTAGATCGATTTACTAAACAAACGCAAAGTAGGGTGGGGATGTTAAACAGTAACCCAGTGCCATAAAAACCAAAAGGAAAAGGATCACCAGTGTGTGTGTGTGTGTGTGTGTGTGTGTGTGTGTGTGTGTGTGTGTGTGTGTGTATATGTCAGCCAGGGCCTCTAACACCACCTCCAAGGGCAAGAGGTAAGAGCTGAGGTAATGTTTCACAGAATAATGGTGAAAAAGTAATGGTTTAAGACATTTCTTTTCTTTTCAGTTGTGTAGCTGACCCCTTTAGTTATGTACACAGAAAACTTAAGTGTTAGCAAATACAGTGACACATTTATTTTTCATTTCCAAAAGTCTTTTGACATGAAGTTACATTTGGGATGAAAAATGATTCCGTCTAATGACCAATGCCATAAGCTGCTTTTACAAATATGAAGCTTGAAGCATGTGTAGTACACATAGCAGACCACCAGATGGCAAGAGATCCTTTACTTTGAGTCAAGTCATGTTGAGCTCTTGATGCATGTGGTAGCATTAACGAAACAAAGAGGGGTTCATTTGTTTACGACTCGGTAAAGAAGCTTTGTTCTTCTTGATTGGAGGATAAACATGCAATAGGAAAATATTTTCATCAGGAGAAACATGTTGCAAATTTAAAAAACAAAACAAAAAAACATTTCCAGCTTGTTCTCAGTTGTTATAATTCACTTTGACTGCTTTCTGTATTTCTATTTTTTCGAAAAAAAAAACTTTTTTTTCTTTTAGAAATCTTCCATTGCAGCATTTTTTGACCTCTATAATAATTGATCTTGACAACACCACCAAAAAGGCTAGTAAGCAGTTCCCCCCCCCCACCAGAGCAGTTTTCAACCCTCCCTCCCCAGGAAGCACATGTAACAGTTTCTCCTTCCCAAGAAGGTGAGCATGTCCAAACAGTTAAAAGTGGTCAGACTCAGAAACACCTCATTTGCATTCTGCATTTTAGATACATGCTCTAAGTAATGCAGCCGGAAAATGTGGTAAGGGATGAAGCAGACCACCATAACGAGGGCGAAGCACATGCTCTTCACCTGAGCTCCAAAGTCCTGCTGAGAGGTGCGTCCGTCGTGATGTTTCCTGTATAAAACCCTGAGGACGTTGGCTTGGAGGACTGTCAGCACGGTTGCGACCACAATGATCAATGTGCTTACGATGTAGTTGATCACTTTGGCGGCAGCTTGGATGCTTTCCCCAAACTTGAAGCAATGTGTTGAGTTGGTATTCATGTCTGTGCCGTAGGAAAATTTAATTGTGAAAGGAACCGCGACAAGCACCACTATCCACACCCCGGCGCTGATCAGCAGTGCTTGAATCCTCTGGAAGGACTGCCCTGCTCTGTGGTAGAACGCCATCAGGCGCGTTATGAGGATGATCACATAGAAAACAAAGGACATGTACATGTGGATGTGGATCATGCTGCTGACCACTTTACACCACACATTGCCCAGGTGCCAGCATCCAATGGCGTAGTAGTAAATCCTGAAAGGGACCGTGACAAGGAAGATGAAGTGGGAGAAGATGAGGTTGAGAACGGCAATGGAGGTGATGGACGTGTTGCTGGACTTCATGAAGTGCACCATCATGGCCAGGCTGATGGTGCCGCTGAGCAGAACCACAGAGTAGATGGCCAGGAGGACATGGTGGTACTCTGGGTTGGGATCGCCTGACGCTGAGCTCGTAGGTGTCAAAGGGCTGCTGGACGTGGATGTGTTGGTTTGCGTCTCTGTGGAATTCATCCTTAATAGAAGAAGGAGAAAAGAGGTGATTATGACATTCAAGAGAGAGAAACAAGAAGTAATGTACAATTCAGGTTGAAAGATTAGAGATAGTAATGGAGGATGATAATAGCAGGGGTTGCTCAAATATAAAGGTCATTATGCTGTACAGATTTACGGACCAATGAGGAAAATGTGTAATTTCTGACATTTGGCTGAATATCAACTTGACTTGACCGTTTCAAAACAGAAGTATCCCGAAATCACAAAGAGAAGGCACAAACAGTTTATAAAACACATTTTCTACTCTTAGAAACACTCAATTATGTTAAGCCACTTTAACCAATAGATTTGTTTCCCCCATTTATATTTACATAATGCAGATCAAGACATTTAACAGAGTTAAAAGAATATTTAAGACTTACATGCTGTCTTGTATATCATCCGTTCAACAGGACTGGAATCGAACTAAATGCAAATAATTCAGGAAGTTTAAAAATAAATACAGTGCTCACAGTTTAATTATTACCAAAGGCACAATACTCCAGTGGAGGTGGAGGTGAAGACTTTGAAACCATGACTTTAATAGTAGTGTGACTTACCTGAAAGCTGTGTGAAGACCCTCGAGTGCTCTTGTGCGTGAAAATAAAGCATTACATAGTATTTGTGCCCTCCACATTACACCACATGTTCACCAGCAGATATTTTTTAAAGTCTTGGAAACGATGTGAGTGTGTAAGAAGCCCTACAGAGAAGTGTGTGTCTCTGTTTCTGCATGGATTCATGTGCCAACCACTCGTGGAAGGTTAAGTTATGAAAATGAACTCGTGTGTGTGTGTGTTTCAGACACCACCGTCCAGTTTTGCATGTGTGTGTGTGTTTGTGGGTATTTGCTTCGTCAGAAACAGGAGGTGATTGCACGTATGTAGTAGCACAACCACAGAGCTGGCTGCTTCCTCCTTTTGGTCTCCCCTCTGTTAATGCAGTTTTTTTTTCTTTTTGCATTCTTTACTATACAAACTATTAGAATGTGAGGTTACATTGTACATAGAGTGAATGCATCAACATTCAAGTGTTAATTTGTCTGCATGAGTTTAGTTCATTAACGATTACCTCCATTGCCTTGATTCTACAGTTAACAATCCAAAGGAGCACCATTAAGCTCAGTTTGCTTGTGGTTGTGGAAAAAACAATACGTGAGAAAGCAGCTAACTGTTAAGACAGACATGGCTTAAGACTCTTTGTTTGGCAAACTCTGTCAACACAGTATCAGCGTACTGAGAAACAAAACAAAAAAGAAGGAAGATTCTGTTAATGCAGAATCATTGCCAACACCTCCGGCAGCTTCTGCTTTTCAGACTGAAATCTAGCAAACAAACAGAAATGTAACTTATCCAGCTCAACATAGCGTGCATTCAATTCTTAAATTGTTAAAACAAATAGTTTTAAGCATTTTAGAATTTACAGAAGCAAGTTGCAGATGTCCTGCTCATCTCATCCTGAGTTGCTGGAAACATCTTGAAATTCATCTCAACGGTCGAAGAAGTAGTCATGCTTAGTACAGTATATTCCATCACGATCACTGAAACAAGAGGTGTGCGAGAGGCTGTGGTATTGGTAGCTGTGATGCTGGAAGATGCATTCATTTCCCATTTGCATCTTAGTCGGGTCATATCCACAATTCAAGAGAGGAGATGCTGCTGCAGGCTTTTGAGACCACGATGGAGCTGAACATTTATAGACTACACATTTATGACTTTGTTGAGGAAGCAACTCCATGTATTTCCAAACAAGGGGAACCTCAACATTGAATTATGTTGTTACTAGTTTGATACTTGATGAGTCAGGTTAGCAAACACAAGCATTATTTGTTATTCATAGTGAGGGCAATGGAATAATCTGTAGGTAAAACAATCTCCCCTTTCTTTTTCTTTCACTCTACTGAAGTCCACACTTCGTTTTTTTTATTGCACATTGCCTGCAAGTGTTTATTGACATCAGGGAAATGTCTGTTTTACTTCTCACTGGACTTCACCACAGTTACAGTAACACGCGAGCATAGAGCACAACAGGTATTGTTGTCAACCAGGTATTACACTGGCTCCTGGTTGACTGCTGTTAATGGTTGTATTAGGAACGACACACAGGTTTCTAGTTTACTCTTTCAGTTTAATTAGTACAGACACGATAAATAAAAGTAGCATCCCTTCTCCATCTCAACATGACACATTGGAGGCAACTTTACAGGAAACAGCATTTCAATAAATTAACATTCTTTAGATGATGAAGCGGCACCTTTGGAAAATATCAACTACTTTATGACTTCATCAATGAATCAATGTAAAAAAAACAACGTCAGTCAAACAAGGGAGTATTCAAGCGACTGCAGTGCAAGAGAAAGTCAGTATGGGTTTACCAAGAGGTAAGAGAAAGTCATTACAGCTTAACCATGAGTTGATTCTTAATAGTTAAAAAAAATATTAATTCCCTTCAATCACATTATGACAACAATGTAAAAATAACCAAACAATAATACAAAGGAAAGACAACAGCAGATGAGTCATTTCCTATGAAAATGTTTACTTCAAGTTATATTCTACCCTAGTCCATCAAATCATTTTCACACTTAGTCATACTGTAAATTCTTCTGAGAAGACTACGTAAAACTTCTGCTTTAAAGGGACATTTAAGAGGAGAATTCCCCTAAAGCAATAGAAATGAGTATTTCCAGCCTATACCATATATTAAATAAGTAAAGGGATTTCATAAGGCAAAAGCTTTATCAGACATACTGTACATAAAAAGAGTCAAATAAATACAAAACAGCCGTTTCACAGCAATGCATGTTTGTTCAGGTGAAGTGCATCTTGGGTCTTCTCCACAGGAGGAGTCTTTTTGAGGTGAAGGTATGTGTGACCACACTGAGTAACATCAGGAAGATGGTCATTGACATCACTATGACATAATGGCTGATGCTGCAGAAGGGAAAATAAATCATGGATTACATATACCTTTACAAATGGTTGCTGAAGGAACATTTATAAAAGACACTGGGTTTATATATTTATTAGAATGTATTTGTTTCTTATAGACCATGACTGTCCTTGTTCACTCACCTGGTGCCAATATCCAACCAGCTGCCGTAGTCCTGCACCAGGAAGAAAAAGTGCTGAGGAGAGGGAGAGTGAGTTTATGGTTATGTAGTGTTTAAAGGGTTCAAATTCAAAGGAGGGAGAGTAATAATGTTTGAGATGACTCTCACAGGAAATGTCTTACCAGAGCCATCAAGTCGGAGATAACCAAGACGATGAGGAATAAACTGGAAAAGAAAAAGAGAGGAAACAGATGAAGGGAAAAGCCTTCCAAGAGGTAGAGCTAAAAGTAAATGTCTTCAATCTACTGTTAGAGTATGTGTTACAAGAGGAAGTGAGGCTGCAATACCAGGTCCGGCCACTGTGTAAAATTGGCTTCGACAGTCAGAGATGACTGAACCATTCCCCTAGCAGGCTCCTCAACAGGATGATACATTAGCTTTAGTATCTTATTAACAATAGATAGGGGTTACCTTCTTGATGAGAGCTGTGTTGCAACTTGGATGGTCTCAAACGTGCACATTACTATGATGAAAGGAATAATAACCTGGAAGAGCAAAAGACAAAAAGATTTAATGAGGACGTTTAGATACAAACACTCCACTGAGACTGATGCAGCTAACAATCTTATCGATGATAAATGTGAGGCAATACATGAATGAGCACTTTTAGAGGACTTGTGCTAAACAGGTCACCAAAAAAGGTCATGGCTGCAGGGAGTACATCTTAAACACACAACACGTTTTAAGGATATAGCAGAGATATGTAGCAGGAGAAACAAAGTACGTATGATAATAGTACCTTCCACATCATCAGACCTCCCATGATGAAGGGATTGAAGACCGTGAGGAAGCAATAAACAGACGCTGGATCAAAACTACAGGGAAAATGAAGCAGAGAGAGAAAGAGAGAGAGAGAGTGTACAGAATATTAAATTCATGAGGGCAATAATCTGTCCAGAGGATGCAGTTTAATAGTAACTTTGATGATGTTTTTGTTTTGTTTAACAGGAGAGAGAGATTAACTGTGAGTGGTGTAAGATAAAACATACAGAACAAAAAGCTATCTTGTTGACACAATGCAAATAAGGAAAAGAGTCTTATGTCTATAAGACTCTATTTTAACACATCACTGTTTTCCTTCCTCTTTTCATTGACACATTGCTAATGGTTAAGAATGCATAGCCCTATCTCCCCTCCCCCACAAACACAACTTCCTGCCAAAAAAACCCACAAACTCTTTCTCACACACACACACACACACACACACACACACAGGCATATACATGTTAGTGCCTTTTAAACAAAGATACCAAGAGGAATGTACCTGTTAATAGAAGCTATGTTCCCTGTGCCGAAGAAAGCAGTTATAATAAAAAATACCTAAAGAACATGTGAAGTCAAGGAAACAACCGGAAACAATGATAACCTAACAAATTCATCATTTATAGTTAATCACAAATGAAATGTTTTTTTCTAATAAATCAGCATCAATTCAATGAAAGTTCCAAACTTCCCTCTTGATAATCGGGTTGATATTTTGTTCTTGTTGTTTATATAAGCTTCAGCTATAAATGTCACTGTTTCAAAGACTCTCAAAAGGGATACGAAAAAATAAGATCTTCTGATATCGTCCAACTTCAGCTGCCGCATCTTAGTGATGTCGATGTTCGCTGAGAAATCAATAGTGGACAGCTGAAAGAGAGAAAACACACACAGAAACATGCCGTGTGTGAGCATGCACACAACCAAACGTGTCCGAATTCAGAAGAAGTGAGAGCCTATGAATGTTTTTTTTTTTTTTTGGGCTTCAGGCAAAACGACAGATTAAATCTACACATCTTATTATATTGTATTAAATTTGTATAATCTGTGTAATTTACCGCCCGGGTTAACACTATCAAGAAATATGATTGTTGTTGTGGTAAACAGATACAGATACGTATCCCGCAAAATCAGACCATCACTTGTAACACCTGCTTGACTCGTTAAATTTGCATCCTTGATTGATCATGCAGCTCACACTGCTCAACCAAATGTAAGTTTGGAAACACGTACCTCTTGTCTCCCAGAGACACCCTGAGCCAGCATAGCTTCCTGTTCAATGTTGATCCAAACAAACATCAACCAAGACAACACAGGGGGAAACAAGGCCTCTGACCTGAGTGGTTACAAAAAAAAAAAAACAACAACTCACATTTCCCTTTTTGGAAAGTTTGACACAACTCTACACAAGGCATCCTTTGATGTTTCAGTGCCGCTGCATTGTGTGTGCGTGTGTGCGTGTGTGAAATATCCCGTCTTACCCAGTGCTAAGCAGCAGGTATGTGGCTGTGAGAGACAGGAATATGCTGAGGAGGCGGTGGAAAATACGTGTGGAGCTCAACAAAGGAACAAGCAATGAAGATGCTGAAAAGAGAAAGGAGAGAGGGGGAGGTTTTAAGGCTGGAAGAGCATGAAAAGAAGTGAGAGTGAATTCATGTGTGTGCAATATCACTGAAATGTTAAATTATGCAAAAGGGTTCCATTTTCCCAGAATTGTATCACACCAAACTAAAATGACAAGACTACTAACTTATAGATGTAGTACAGGAAATGCATCTGTAATTTGCATCTTCTAAAAACTACATGAACAAAGTCATTCACTTGTGCACAGTTTAAGGGTTATGTTTAATGCAGCATTGCTCCACCTGGTAAAAAAGAGAAATATCTGTACAACAAGAAACCAGTGAAATATCAGATTGCACAATTGAAACCCAACAAGAACAAGAGCATACATACAGTTCAGCATTGACTTAAAGTTACAGAAAACTCATTGGCAGTCCTCAAAGGACGACACCATGCAAGTTTTCCAGTTTCGCAAACCCTTCTTTGAAGAACTTTGAGGTTTTTCTGACTTGACGCAATGACTTTCTGTTCACACTGGTGTGGCCTGACATTGCACGAGGTCCACTGCTTTGGAAGGCACCCAAGAAGAAAAAACAATTTCCCACTAATCGACTCAAACTGAAAGATTGTCTAGGCAAAGGACACAAAGCCTGATGAACAGTGACACTCTTTTGTTAGGGGAGCCCTGTTTTTGTGTTTCTTGATCTGATGGGGTCCTGCATGTTCCGAGTTAATATGGTACGGGGCATCTGGGCCTGCTGTAAGTGCGCCCCAAGTGGAGGAGGAATGGTTGACCCCATTTGCTAGGTATGACACACATTTTTTCAGAAGCTGTGATTGGTTTATCCAAAATAAAAAGAGAAAAAAGTGCTCTCTTTGTGATGATGGGCATAGAGGGGCAGTAAAGTGTAATTATGATCACTATGAATTAATGTCTCTGTGTGATGAATTGTAAGACATACTTTTAAAGTATACAGCCTACAAGATGAAAATCACATTCTCACTTGTGCAGCAGCTTCTTCACATGCTGATCGTTACATCAGCAGGTAATGAGCCTTAATTAGTGATTGGATACACCTATGGAGGTGAGCACATGTAGACAAACCCAACATGCATGTCTCACTTTCTATTTAAAAAAAATCATAGATGGATTGAAATGTCCAACTATGAGTCAAAAAGAATGTTCTTAATGTCGTGTTTGGAGAACATTTCTCCATTTCCTCTTCAGCCTGCCTGTTAAAAGTCCTCCTCACTCCTCCTCACAGTTTAACACCTTTGATAGAGAAATTTGAAAGAAAAATGTACAAATGATATATGTTCGTAACTCTAAACACAAACTGTCCTCAGAGGAAAATGTGGTCCCTGGAACACTGTTTGAAGATGAAATGCTACGTGACAAGTTATGGAGGGGGGGCCCACAACAGTGAAACCGTAACTCTCCTGGTAGCTTTCAAGCTCCAAACAGTGCTCCAGGGACCCAATCTTTCCTTTGACTAAAGTCTGTGTATTTAGTTCAGCAAATACTGATACTGATACTGATACAAATACTAATCATTTCACTTCTCCTTCTTTCAAATTTCACCACATAGTGCACCTTTAAGGCCTAACATGCTATGTGAATCACTTTCGTCTTTATAAGGATCTAGTCCTAACTTTAAGGGGAAACTCGTAGAAGATTTGGTTCTAAAAAACTTTTAGTATTCAGGAGGCTTTTTGAATGCAGCCCCAGATCTTTAAGAGTATTTTAAGAGATATTTAAAAGATTAAGAACAGACATTTACTAAAGAGAAAATTATTTTGATGCAAGTTTTTTTTAATAAAGTCTTCAGTCATAGTTTGTTAAGATAAGCACTTCTGTTTATTTTAAGAATTAGCTCATTTCTGTCAGAGCTCTTAACTCTTAACCTTAACATAACAAAAAAAAAACAGGATTTAATTGTGTTAATGTTTCAGTCATTGTACAGGGGTGTGCTCATTTTAGTTATCCATTGTAGTCGATGATTTCTCATTTTGAAACATAAACATAAATGATTGATGGATATGAGTTGAAACCCCTCCCCCCCAGGTTATCCTAAAGTGTGGAACACTAAATGAGATTATCTCTACCCACGCCCACCTACCTAATGTGGTCCAGCTGATGATCTGATTAAGAAGAGGCAGACCCTGTTTCTGCTGCAGGCTGGAGTGTGTGAGCGAGGGCACGTACGCACACACTGCCACGAGGAGCATCTGTCGGGATGAACCGGTAGTTTGTTTGTTTCATTTATTTATTGTTGGAAGGCACAGTCACAAAATGCAGTTACAGACACAAAACCATTTACACACAGTGCAAAATGACATGCACTGCACTTCTTACCTGTGCGACAAACTGGGGCCTGTCGCTGAGGTGCAGCGGTGTCCTATGTCGTGAGGACCAGAGGTAACAGGCTGAGGTGAAGAGAGTGAGAAGACCTGCGCAGGTACTGAACAAACAAACAAACAATGTGTTACCTTTTTATTTCTATAGGTTTCTGAAACATCTGGGGCTTAGCCCAGAGGGAAATGGCAGATGCATGTGCTGAGCACGCACAGCAAAATTTTTCATAATGCTTTACCTAAATAAACAAAATATGCAGTTTATTATAGCTTTAAATAACTACCTGACTGCTGTGCGGCTTATCCCCAGACATCTAAAGTTCCATTCAAAGTTATTTCAGAGTAAAATGAATACAAGGGAGACAGACCTTACATTACCTATATGGATCTGACTGGGGATAGGTTAGGTTAATTCACTTGAGGTGGTAAACAGTCTGGTTATGTTTTTAAACCGTTTATTCTCTTGCCAGAAGGACTATCAAGAAGGACTAGGCTACTTTATTTTGAGATGCCCCTGGAATCCCCATGTTTCTTTAAAGCACACGGGACATCCAACAAATAACTAACTACCATTAGTGACTAGAATCATTTCATCACTTCTAGACTGAATTGAATTAATGCAGTCCATGGTTACCAGTAAATATACCAATGGTAAAAATACCAATTTTCACAAACTTCCCTTTGCGCAAACACAAAAGTGCTTCATTCACGAAACACCAACAGTAATCATTCAGCACAAAGTAAACATTGAGATGTATTAAACATCTCAATGTTTAATAGATTCACAATGTATAATAGAGTCACACAGTCATGTATGTATTCTTTACATGTTTTTCTTATCTTGTACAGTGTGTCTCTGTCTTCACCGTTACTCTCCACTTTACCTGTTGTTTTTCCTCGTACATTCATCGTGTACAGTATGTTTGGTAGACACTCGGAACGTCCACGGTTGAATACGGAGATTTTGTTGCTCTGTTGTCGTGCGGCAAACGAGGGGCGTTCATGATATCCAAACCGATTTCACCACTAACCATAACCCACTTACTTTGTATCTATGTCAAAGTGACCTGAATGTTTTGGGTTTTTTTTACCACAGCAGAAGTCTGTGGTAAACATTCTGATAAATATAAGCAAATAGAGGAAACACTCACACCAGATGTATGTTAGGCTCTCTACCCACAACAGGCATCAGGGGGAAAGCAGCCAAACACAGGCAGCCCAGAGACCAGCTCAGAGCACGAACCTTCACAGACACAGAGGACAATAAGGTTATAAAGTTAAATGGACTGATGAGCCATTTATCTGATGAGAAAATGAGCAGTGATGGTTACATTAAATAGAATGTTTCATATGCAGTTTATATTGAATCTTACAATTTCCCTCATGGCAGTGTAGTGATAAAAAAAAGAAGATATAAAGATTTAGGAAACGATACAGTCAGGGTTCAGAATAAGTGCTATGTCAAATAAGTATTTTCACTTTCCCTCCTATTTACAAACTTCCTGGAGGGAGATCATTTTCCATTTCATGTGTGGAAATTAAAGTAATCAAATATTATTTTCTTTTTTTTACGTCAGGGTTAACTTTCCTCTGACTGATAGTGAAGAGCTGATGACGCGTGGAACATTTACCTTTGCTCTGCCAAAAAGACTGGACACGAACGGCCAGAGAGAGAGGGAAGTGAGGCCAACTGTCAGCATGGCGCGATGAAAGAAGCTCACCACCTGGGGGCAGCAAAGGTAAGTTGTCATCCAAAGCACACTACAGAGTAACCTCATACTGCTGCTTGTGATTTGGATAAATCTGAAATATTGACCGTTTGTATCGATCAGTTAAATACTAGAGTGCGAGCATAGGTAGGTATCTAATTATGAATTGGGAACACAATGTAAACACCTACCAGCAGCTCGATTCCAAACGCCACCAGCACAAAATAGCAGAAACATTTCCACAGGGGCAGCGAGGGAGCAGAGCGGATCAAATCTGTTAGAGTTCCACTCCTAAAAATAGATCAAAAATTATTTTTCCTGCGATAAAAGGGGAAAAAGGAAACTGCAAAGACCACCTTTTCATCCATTTACAGAATGGACACGTGAATGGATTCAGCAGCCGTTCAAAGGATCTAATTAACACTTCACTGCGGCTGAGCTGTGTGTGTGTGTGTGTGTGTGTGTGTGTGTGTGTGTGTGTGTGTGTGTGTGTGTGTGTGTGTGTGTGTGTGTGTGTGTGTGTGTGTGTGTGTGTGTGTGTGTGTGTGTGTGTGTGTGTGTGTGTGTGTGTGTGTGTGTGTGTGTGTGTGTGTGTGTGTGTGTGTGTGTGTGTGTGTGTGTGTGTGTGTGTGTGTGTGTGTGTGTGTGTGTGTGTGTGTGTTGAATTACAGCCAATTAAAAAAAAAAAAGCTTAATTCAGTCATAAAATGCTGATTTTATTATTGTGTTTGGATTTGTTTGACACCCTGAGTCTGTGTGTGGGATTAGCTCCACCACTTCATGTATGCAGGAACTACACACATTCAACTTCTTAGACCCTGATGTATATGTGCAGATGTGTTGCAGGTTGTTATCTCTTGTGCATCAACTTAAAGGTGCATGTCACTCACTCTTTAAGGACAGAGTACCACACAGGAACAGGCAGAAGGCAGTAAATGTAGTAGGTAACGGGGCTCCTTTGGATAAGCAGGAACACAGTGATCCCCACTGTCACACACATACACAGCCTTGCCAGACTACGGCTTGGAGTCTGTAAACATAAAGAAGCAATACCAGAAATGTAACTTAGCCAGAAAATCAAGTTTCATAACTGGTTTTGGTGAAAAACAAAAAAAGATATGGTATTACAGAGTGTGCCCTGACCTGTCTGAGGAGGCTGGGATTTCTGTCCAGGCTGGCATGAGTCTTCAGTATGACCAGGACAACATATGAGGTCCAGCCGACAAATCCAAACACCACACTGCAACCCAGGAAGAACCTGTCGTAGTTGTGGTAGTAGACGAGGCCCTCCAGAGAACGAGATATCAGAGCCTGGCACAGAGAGATCTGGAAGGGACACGTGAAGGGACACAGGGCGCTTCAGCAAAAGTGAATGATGTATGGAGATAGTGGAAAGAAGATTAATATATACAGGAATGTAAAGTAGCCGATCAAATCAGAAGGAAAACAACACCATGCAAGCAAGGCAGACACAGTGTAGGTTTGTTGATCTAGGCAGGATTTATCGCAGTTAAGCTGGTTCCATTAATGTCAGGCAGTGTCAGCGAGGTGTTACTCACCTGTTTGTTTTACTTTGCAACAGAGTGGACTAATGCACCTTTAGTGTAATGTCAACACCATGTTTCAACACGAGCTTAATGTATTAAATGACCCAGGATTAATCTATAATTCACTGATTTCTAAATACTCACAGCGTCTTCATACTTCTCCAGCTGAATCAGTATTCTGGCCTTGTGTGTAAATTCTGCTTGTTTTGACTCAGTTAGAGGCCTGGGAAAACAGTGAGGCAGAAAGATTGAAGTGTGTTTGTGGTGCCTTGAATTTAAATGGAGTCTTACATGTGTTGTGATGTCTTTTTTTTTTCTTTCATATTTAACAAAAACAACACATTCAAAACATTGCATTTTTTTCTGCTTAAATGTTGCAAATGCCACAAACAGAATCCCCGATCAAGAAACCTTTTTATTAGAGTTCTCAATGAAGAAAATCCTCAAACCATGCAAACACATGATGAGAATGGAAATGGATCCTTTAAAAAGACTGAACACACAGCAAAAAGAAAAAAAAAAAAAAGCAACTGATTCACTTCTATGTCATTACAAATCACAATGCATTCATTATACTTACTGGTATGGGGTGAAGAGAAAAGACAAGGTCGTCTCCTTTTTCTGGGTCATTTTCACCTGGGGGAAAAAAAAAATCTCTGTCACCATGGATTTGTACATTTTATTTCAGCATTACAAAACAAGTACCGGCCTCACCACTACGTCTCACTGTACTAGATAGACATTAAGTCTGAGATTATGAGAATGAAGTTGTAAAACTTCGGGAATGTTCAGGCTGCCTGTTAGACTGCCCTTCTTCAGACTCGGTTTCTTGCACAATCTTTTCAGATACTTATGACAGTGAGTGGTGCTGATGTGCCAACACGTTAAGTATTCCATTATTTTTTAAACCAATGCTCAAGTAGAACCTTCCTCACAAGATGCTCTACATTACATTTAATACATTTTTAGTTGCCAGAGGGACTCTGGGGGGGGGGCGCTACAGAGTCATTTATCATGAGTGCAGAAAACATCCTAAATGAGATCTGAACCATGATATGAACTGTTTTTAATGTTTTAATGTGCGCGCGTGTGTGGTATTCCCAAAATATTCAGACTTTATGTGTCATTATACCGGTGTTATTGTAATTGATCACATTGTTACAAATTAAAAAAAGAATAACAGCACCATTAATTAAACAACAAAGTGAACGAAGAACATCAGAGAGGAAATATAGCTGCATGATCTCCTACCTTGAACTGTTCTAGTATTTGAATAGCATTAGTGTACATGCTCTCTGCCTTGAACTGGTCACTGTTGTTGAGGTAGAGGAGAGGTAACACACCCTGATGAGACACAAAAACATTTTTTTGTTTTACAGAAAACTAAATCTATTTTATGTTGGTACTTAAACCAGTGGACACTTAAAAACAAATGTAATTCTCTTTGTAGGGCCATTTTTACTTACCATTAGCCTACTGTTTATCTTGGGCATTCACAAGTTGTTAACAAGCAATTTTAACAACTTAATATATGAACTGACATTAACTTGGCAGACACATTTTTCTAAAAAGTGTTTTTAAGTGTATAGGCTAACTGGAAATCAATGTGAAAAATATGCAGCAGAAAACATCTTGAGGGCTGGACCCGGCTCCTGGACTCTTCTAATTGTGTATAGACAACTCATACAGCAGTGAATGCTTGCAAACAGCTTTACATCAAAAAGAACCAGAGTATTTACTTTGTCTTATGTAGTTTATATCTGGACTTACCACAGAGTTCAGAGGAAAAGGCACGCCAATGAGAGAGGCCATTAGGGGAGCAATGTCTGCCTGCACAAACATTTCAAAAAAAGAAGGAAAGAAAAGAAAACCACTTTAATAACTGAGTTTTTATAATCAATGCTTTAACATATCTTATTTTTAGTTGTAATAGTCATCAGTGACATCATTACCTGATTAACGTCAACTCTACGAGTGTGCTGCAGGTTCCACTCTGAGAGAAACAGTGAGGATAAAATAAAGACAATAAAAACTTAAAGAAACTGCTTGTTTTTTACTTTTCATTTAAAATAAAAAATACAAACTTACAACCTGCCTTCCTAAAATAACAACACAAACCAGGGTCCTAAACATGTTCCAGAGACATTCAAACAACCAGCTGTGAGTATAGTAACAAAAATGTTTAGCACCTTGTAGGTACCCGTCATCGTATGGTTGGGGTTCAGTGACTTTGTGGGCGCTGTTAACTCCAGCCCCCCATGCCACCAAGGGGGTGAGGGTCTCAGAGGGATGGCCTGCACCATGTGAACCTGGATACACATGCAAAAAAGAGACATATAAAGACACGTTAAAATATTTTTTAAAAAGACTTTAGTGATGTCATATGCTAAACAACTGATGGTTTAATGTTTTATTCAGTGGTTTGGAGTACAGAAGGGAGACATACACAAACTAGAGTCTTACCCCAGTTTGTCATGCCATGATCAGAGGTGAACACATAAGACGTTCGGCCGTCATTATCAAAGAATTCTTCTATTATCGACACCATTTCAGCGACGCCAGTGTCTACGAGAGCAATGTTATCCAGGTACTCCCTAGAGAAGAGACAAAGATAAAGTAAGTGAAAATTAAGGGAATGCTGCTTTGGAAAACACATGTTGAGTAGAAATAAATTAAATACAGGTGGAAAAATAACAAGGTTTCTCTTACTTGGACATTGGTCTGTGAGCATGTCCGTTTGTATCAATGCCCAGCAGATGAAGGAAGAAGACATTCCTATCCTTCAGGAGGCTGGCCTTCAAACTGGAGTTAGACTTTGCTGACTCAAAGAACGTCTAGTGCAGAGAGGGAAATAAACATTTGTTGAAAAGCTAGAAAAAGTGCAGCCAGTACAATATTCCCTATAACAGCTCTGTGAGGCTGCACATGTTTTGCCTTGAAGATCCATCATTTGACTACACAGTAAGAAACACAAACATGACTGACTGTATTACATTACAAAGAATATAAGAATGTAAAATATGTACACTACACAGTCAAATAATGCCAATAGTATATCAGATTTTAATTATACAAGTCATTGTTATTGTTAACAATTCCACTACCATACTTTGACTTGTGTGAACACCCATGTGTCCAGCCTGGAGGCGTCTGTGGAGGCAAAGTCCTCCTCTCCAGCGGGGTATGTGTGGGTATACATATGGTCTCCACTGGCACCTGGAAGATCAGCGTACAAAATGTCATATTAAAAAAAAGTTTTTATTAAACTACAGTCTATCTGTGAACTTTTTGGTGAGTATGTGAGCTCATGTTATGTACCTTTGGAAAACATGGGCAGAATATCAGGGCTGCCCCAGCACCAGCTGTGTCTGCTCTCATTAAACACAGAGTCAAACTCTACTGGATTCTCTTTCCACCCTGAATACACAAAAAAAAAGAGGTAATTGCACGTGCAGTCTCACACACACAAACACACACATGCACAATCACATAGATGTCAAATAAGTTTACTATTCATCCTGTTTCCAAAACCTCTCATGTCACTGCCCGCATTGATGCACACCTACCTTTAGCAACAGCGCTAACATCCTCGTAGAAGCCCGCAATGAGAGCGACATGTCCGGGACGAGTCTCAGTGGGAACGTGTGTGTGCGACACACCCCAGGTACCCCTCTCTTCAATCACTTTCCTTATGTTAGGACAAATAGACATGAACACAAAAACACCAGTTACTGACCAGTTATTAACATGACAGAGACGCAGTATAGATATTAGCTGTTACTTCTTCTTCTGCAGGTGTAATCAATAAGCACACAAACATACCACACTGAAGCTCTTCACTGTGTATCATCTTCCTAACCTCAAGTATGGCGCTCTGGATGATCCGTTTTGGAGAAGTGTGTAGAGACTGTCTGCTCTGAGACCGTCGGCTACCAACAACACCAGTCTGGAGGCGGGGGGTACCAGCGGAGTGGCTTGGGGTGTCATTCCATGGACCAGGGGAGAGGTGAAGTAGATGTCAAAGATGGAGATGAAGAAGACCACATGGACTGTCAGTCCAACCAATAAAAAGGTGATCATCCTCATTTTGAGTATTAATACTGAGCTGGGTCTGCAGAGCAATGGAGGGAGATGAAGTCTGAGGAAAAGAGACAAAACATGAAGACACAGAATCCAAATGAATACCTTTATTTTTGACAAACAAAAAGCTTACAGTCCAAGTCCAACATATTTGAGTTCAGGGTTAAGGTTTTAGCTTATCAAAGTCAAAGTCAACTTTATTGTCAATTTCAAAATATGCCAGACATAGAGTGGAATCGAAATTGCGTTTGTCTCCGTCCCGTGGTGCAATACAACCAAAATAAGGTAAAATAAGATAAATAATATTTACAGTAATACATTCCAAATAGTGCAAAAGGTACAAAACAAAATGGTAAATAAGATAAAATAAAGAAAGAAATTGTTTAGGAGAATAATTGTAATAATTAGAAAATGATTTAGGAGGATGTGTTATAAAGGTCAAATACAACACACCAGTCAACCAGAAGGTGTCCATGTAAAGACTGCTTAAGGGTGAGGGGTAATCCTTCTGTCACCTTATGCCCTGAGCCAATAATGACTTTAATGGTCGGTAAATCTGAATATTCATTACGAGCATTGTAAACATTAGAGTCTGCTTACAAGAGAGGAAATCAGAAAATCGATTCCATCTTACACCATGCAAAAAGTCTCCTTACCTGTATGTGACGGAACTGGACTAAGCCCATACAAATAGGATACCCGGACTTAATGATGAATGAATGGAAATGCAGAACTATCCCAGTTCCCTTTCACCCATTCACCTGATTTAACTTCTATTACTATCTTGCAGCGGACCAATTATATAAATCAGCAAGTCCCGATAGATTTAGACCTTGGCATGCGAAAAGGGATCAACGTAGTGTTTAGGTGCGTCCTTTTACAAAACCGACTGTCCCTCACTGTAAGCAGATTACAAGAAATACAGGTTGCATGAACATCCACTTCCGTGTATTGACTATGACGTCTTACGTTGACGTATGTACTTTGCAGTTGAATTGTGGGTATTGTATTCACAATAGTCAACTTCTAGCGAGAAATTCCGTTTAAGATGAAGCTTCTGAGTTTAAAGAGATTACTTTGGATTTAATTATTTTAACTCTTCATTCATGAAAGTTTAATATATGAAATCGAGCTTTTTGATACATTAAGTATCACAGGCTATCAGCTGTCAGATGTGCCCTGCCCTTTTTCCTTTCTGTCTCTCCCTCGTCCAATCATTTTCCATCCATCCCATGAAAGAGGCGGGACTCTCTATCATTTGGCCAATCACAACGTCGCATCCTTTCCCACTTGTCAAACCACCTACCAAACAAGTAGCTAGCTTTCCATTCAGGAAGAAACGGGTCTGATTAGCTTAGCAAGCCTACATTGCTAAAATCTTTATAGTGCAAAAATGGCGTCTGTGAACCCGTTTAACCTCAGTGATTCTGA